TATAAGTTGCATCAACGATTTAACAGACTTTAATTGCAGTGTTCTTAATCTTTATAAGTTAGTAGTACTGTTCGGGTTTACAGTGTGGGGGCGTGTTAGAACGAGCCGTTTTAGGCAGGCGTGGTTGACTCTTAACTTTTATAAAGAATATCTCTTTGGATTTGAGACTTTAGTCTTTGCAACTTTACAGATCTTCTTTATGCACCAAGAGCTTGTAACACTCCAAAGAGAAAGGAAAACTTGAAATCGCATCATATGACCCCTTTAATACAGTGTGAAGGGTGTATTGTATATTCCACGACTGCATATTTATCTACTGCAAGACAGATAGTCTCGTAAAGAAACAGTTGTAACTACCACACCAGAGAAAATATTGTAGACATCACTTCGATTTATATTCATGCGCTAAACTTCACAGCTCGGTCACCCGGAGGCCATGACAGGCAATGTGAGGACGACTACAATAAAGGGCACCCTCATTCTGTCACCTCCTATTCCCCTCGTCCTATCATTTCCACCCTCTTCCTTTTCCTTTCCACCAATAATCTGTTTTCAGCCTCGGGGGGGGGTGATCATCCAGTGTTTAGGTGTGCTATAGCGAGTGTGGTGAAGGTTAGACACAGGGTCCCCCTGCATTGGTAAACATGTTTTGTTGTAAGCATGTAGTTGGAGAACATGTCTCCTGGATCTTGACTGCCATAGGACAGAACTATCAGATCTCAGCTTGAGCAGATTTGACGGTTCAGCCTCCCTGGGTGTTAACATCGCCTTTAGCTATGAGCTTTGATGCCCCACTAACTGAGGAAAAAGCTTATGAAATGCATTGTACTAACAGCTGCTTGTATTTTTTTAGCTATGAGCTTTGATGCCCCACTAACTGAGGGAAAAGCTTATTAAATGCATCGTACTAACAGCTGCTTGTTTTTTTTTTTACACCAGTCCAATTGGCATGCATTAGCGTATTACATTGTGAATGTGTGTTTCTCTAGGTTGGCATCGATTTCACAGCGTCCAATGGCAACCCCAGGGAGCCGTCGTCTCTGCATTATATCAACCCAATGGGCAGCAACGAATATCTGTCCGCCATCTGGGCTGTAGGTCAGATCATCCAAGACTATGACACGTATGTAACAGTGTTTTTAATAAAAAAACAATTTAAAGGTCTACATATGGGCACAAAAGCAGTGTCTGGTAAAATCACACTCCTCCTTATTCACACTTCATGTCCACAGGGACAAAATGTTTCCTGCACTTGGATTTGGGGCTCAACTCTCACCTGACTGGAAGGTGAGAAAAAGTGTCCATAATTGTGTCTGCATTTGTATCTACGTAAAATTTATTTTTGTTTGTTTATTTTTGAGCATCTCATACTAGTTGTCCTTTGAAATAATCAAATGGAATTGTATGCGAAAGGCTGTTAAAGCTTTTGGAAGTGTGAAATGGAAACGAGAATTTGAAGTACAAGACAGAAAAGAGGCAGATAAAGAAAATGAATAATACTCATCCCAATGATTATGCAACTGTCATCCCATCTGCGTTGCCATGGCACTGGAGTGAATACAAGGAAGTCTGAGGGGGGGATTTCACAAGGAAAGAATTGCACCCGCCGATAGCGCCATTTCTTTGCATGCATTGCGTTTCTTTTAGCACTTATCTATGCCACTTGTTATACCCAGTTATGGTGTTCTTCTCTATCATTTGATGAATAACTGCTGCCATGATCAATATAAATTGTACACAAACATCATAAATTATATCTGCACAACATGAAACATAGCACTTGTGCCAGAAAAATAGCACTTGTGGAGTTTTGTGAATAAGGCGTCTTTGTGCTGTAAGTAATGAGTGACTTATATATGAAATATACACTACCATTCAATAGTTTGGGGTCAGGATGATTTTTTTAAAGAAGTTAATACTTTTATTTAGCAAGGATGCATCAAATGGAGCAAAAGTGACCATGAAAACATTTATGATGTCACAAAGGATTTATTTTTTAAATAAACCTATAAATCAAAGAAACCTGGAAAAAAATGTATCACAGTTTCTACAAAAAATTTAACTGCACAGCTGTTTTCAACATTGATGATAAGAAATATTTCTTGGGCACCAAACCAGACCCCAAACTTTTGAACAGTAGTATGTGTCATAAATAGACTAAATGTCACAATCTCCAGCTGGTGATTGTGACATTAAAAATGTATTAGCCCTGTTTTTTTGTTGTTTGTTTTTTTAGCTACTGATGTGTTATTGTTCTTTTTTACTCTTTATATTCCAGGTATCCCATGAGTTTGCAATCAACTTTAACCCCACCAACCCTTTCTGCTCAGGTGAGGCTCACAGATATTTTCTATAGTACCCACAGATAAAGTTAAGTTAGTATCTATGATCGTGTTCTATGTGCATGCAGGTGTGGAAGGGATCGTTCAAGCTTATTCCAACTGCCTGCCTCACATCCGCTTCTATGGACCAACCAACTTCGCCCCCATCATCAACCATGTGGCCCGCTTCGCTACCCAGGCCCTCCAACAAGACACTGCTGCAGTAAGTGCCTGAACATTCAAGAGGATCATGGGTTTTCTTGAGGAAAATTAGGAAGGAAGTCTAGTTGGTTAATGTAGTCTTATGCTAGGAACAATCTAATGCTTGGGATAGTAAGCCAACCCCGTTTCGGAAGTACATTTAGCTTGTTCGGATTGTATGATAGCTTGTACACTGATAAATTGATGGATTTAGCAGATAACTGTCCGAAACACTTGCCATCTGTTGGCCATGGCAGTCTCACATGTGAAGCTAAAGCACTTTGGAAGTCCCTCTGGATGAGAGCATCTGCTAAATGTTTTAAAAGCAAAGGCAAATGACTGTCTCATGCATTTTGCCTCCTGTCACTATTTAGCAGTTTTTAACAGTTAGTGGCCACTCATTAAATGGATGGAAAGGCTCGTCCTCAAGTTACAGACTGATGCGTGTGTGTCTCAGCATGATACTGGACAGCAAGTCTCCATTTAAAAGCCTTATTAGTCTTATTACATCCCATTACTTTTGTCAACTTGGTCTGTAAGACTATGAGGAAAGACTGGAGTGGATCCACACCCAATTTACACAGATCTCTCCGCTGAGAGAGGAACAGTATTACTCTGTGTTCCCATCAGACGTTGAGTGGAAACTGTAAAAGCTCCTTGGTTTCCTAGATAAGTGCAACATTTGAGCGAGGCACAGACCAGGGCTCACTCTCTTCCATGATAGCACAATGTGTCTGTGTTTCATCAGGCAGGGTGTTGCTGCAGCTTTCCACTTGTGAAGTTTAGCTCACTCTGTTAACTTCCTGTGAGCATGTGCAAAATTTGCTTTTAAAAAAACTTTCACTCTCAGCTGTGGCTCTGTAAGTGCCTCTTGGCTGTAGCTGATTCTAAGATAACAATTTTGAATTAATTGCTAACTTAATCAACTGTAGACTGATTTCTTTCTTTGATTTCTTCTTTGTGAAATGTTTTAAATTAACATACTTTCCATCACTTTATTTGTAGCACAGACAACTTTCACTATTAAAATGACTGTTTGCTTCATTGTATTCAAGAAGTACATACAATAATAAAAAAATCTATCATCATCTACTTCACCTTAAGTCATTCCAAAATTAAGACTTCCTTCTGTGAAGCACAAAAGGAGAAGTTAAGCTGAATGTTCTGGCTGTTTTTTTCCATACAGTGAAATAAAGGGGGTGGTGAATGTCAAGTTCAAAACATGCATCATAGAAGTACCATAAAATAATCTATATAACTTATGCGCTATCATTTTTGATGCCGTAGTAGCTTTGTGGGAGGAACACAAATTTAGAAACGCAAACCTTCCATCTCAGCACTCAAATCTCACATGTTTTGTTTCTGACATGCGAGTCAGATGGACTTTATCGTATGTTTTATGAACTTTCAGGAGTTTGGCAGCCTCTGGTCATCTTGCACTTTCATTGAAACACTGTTCAAAAGTTTGGAATCAGATTGATCAAAAATGACTGTAAAGACATTTATAATGTCACAAAAGATTTTATTTCCAATAAATGCTGTTCTTTTGAACTTTCTATTCATCAAATAATCCTGAAAAAAATGTATCACAGTCTCCACGACTGTTTCAGCATTGATAATAATTCAGAAGGATCATGTGACACTAAAGACTGGAGTAATGATACTGAAAATTCAACTGTCATCACTGGAATAAATTGCGTTTTATGATGCATTAAATAAGAAAACAGTTATTTTAAATTGTAATATTATTTTCACAATATTACTGTTTTTATGGCATTTTTGACCAAATAAATGCAGCCTTGGTGAACATAAGAGACTTCTTCCAAAAAATCTAACAAAAAATTAAAAATAAATAAAAATCAGCCCCAAACTTTTGAACAGTGTTAAAAAGTGGCCAGGTTGTACAAAAGAAAATAACTGAGAAAATAATGACAGAATATTCAATTTTGAGTTGGTTATTGGTTTCCGCATGAATCATTTCCAATAGGGAGTTGGATCATGGTGCCATCTTTAGATGACATATTTTTCTGCATTTGTATGCACAGAGAGGCTGTATATATGCAGATGGAAGAGAAGTCAGTTATCAGTATTGCTGGTGTTGTGTGAGTAGGATGGGTGTGTCTGTGTGGTTGTTTGCTTTTGTAATAGACAACAGGACTGACCCTGGCTCAGCAGAGCCTAATTGATCCATAAGCCACTCACAAAATGTGCCTCCGGTTGTTAGTTCAAAGTCTGCCGAGGGGCTTTGAACAGCACAGTGCGCACAATTTCTCCTGCTCTTATTATCAGCCCAGTGGAAAACAACCATTAAAATCCCTTTTCAATTAAAGCTATTTATAGAAGTTGATTCAGCGAACAAATGTTCTCTCTTTTCCCCCAGTTGTTCTTGGGTTTTAATGACTAATGAGGCTGCGCCCTCAGGTCTGTTCTGTGTACAGGCCAGCAGCAACGCCAGCTTCAGAGAAGGATAACGGAGCGACTCTTTTTTTGTTGTTGCGAGGGAACAAGGCTACATACAATGCCAGTGCAGTCATCAAACCGACGCAGTGTTGCCAGATTGGAAATGTAATTCCAAATGTACATTTTTTTGGATTCTGGTTTTTTTTTCCGTTTAAATTTTTCTGGTCTCCTTTTTAAATGGTTAAATTAAATTTTGTTATTCAAAAGCACGTCTAATTAAATAATGAAACGTATACAATTCAACATCAAATCTATATAATTTTAGTAGTAGTAGTTGTACGTACATTCTACTGAACAATATTAATACATTTCTGGCAGAAACTATATATTTTTGACCACAGAACATGCAGGATTTATATTTAAATAGCCTTTTTGCGGCTTAATATTTACAGATACTAGTCCATATCACGATTTAAGTGTAATGACCTTCCTTTGATTAATTCATCCAAACTTTGACAAATTCCATGACATTCCGCGTTATACAGTAAATTCCGTTGACTGGATTCCTCAATTCCATCCGTGTTTTCCGCATCACGGAAATCATAGGACCATAGGCGTACCTTGTGGGAAGGTCCAAACTCCACCTCTGAGTCGCTGTCATCAGAATCCTGCGTGTTGCCAGATGTTGAGGGTCCTGAGGTGTGCACCAACCCATTTAGAGCGTCTGTAATCAGCCGATTTCATGGCTTTGTTTTGATGAGGTTGACTTTGGAAAAAACTCGTTCTGAAATTTCGAAATTATCGTACATTATGGGATTTTTTTCATTATTGATCGTACATCGTACAGAGGTCAAAATTATCTTACAAATACGATAATTATCATACAAATACGATAATTATCGTACGTCTGGCAACACTGAACCGACGACTGGCAATACACAGTTTGATTAGAACATTTTTTACACTGAATTTAAATCTTTAAATATGTTGAAATGAATAAAATAAAAAAGCATTGAAAGCCATTAAATGGATTTTGTGAAAATTAAGGCCTTAATTGGCATTAAAAGTCAATAAATTTTATTCCTACAGGCATAAAAGTTTTTCAGATGGTTCTGAAGAAAAATAATATTACATAGTTAATATTAAATAATATTAGTTTATTTTGAATATAGCTTTCATGATAATAACATTTTAATTTGCTGTCGCAAAATATGTACATTGGGGTTGTGGCTAGAAGGGACACAGCAAAAACCGGAAGCTAACAATAAATGGAATTTTCTGCCTATTAGATTGTGTTTTATTAACGTCTATATCTACCCCAACTCTAAACCTACCCCTTACAATAATGCAAAAATAGTAATTATTGTTGTACAGTGTGAGAGAAATTACGCTATATTGATGTGTCCAAGCCCAGTAGTTTTTGCTGTATCCCTTCTAGCCTTAACCGTACATTGGTGTGATGCAAACGTGGAACCAGTTTGGTAATTGCCTCCGGCCGGTGCGAAATTGCCATAACGCCGGATGTTTGGACAGCCGCGGGCTGGGACATGGAGGAGTACAATTTAGAGCAGAGAATGTAAATTTCGTAAAGTCGGAAAGAAATTGGGAAGTGCAATTGCGCAGTTTTGGCAAGAATGATTTAGATTTTATTACATTGTGTAAATGACGATTGCTAATGAATAATGTATTGACAGTAACAAGGTCGCGCCAGGTGAGGCTTGCGCAGCCTGTCTGTTTGTGAGAGAATGTCGTGGAGAAATCAAAACAAATGAGCACAACAGCACAGACAAAGAAACTCATAAAACATACTGTGATAAAAATAGAGTTTTTACATTTATAATATGATAGGATGACCATATTTTAGTTTTCCAAAAAGAGGACAGTGGGTGCCCTGGGCGGGGCGGGGGGCTGGGGTGTGGTAGGTTGGTGGTTAAAGTAATATCGAAAGCGCCCAAAGTAGCCCAATCTTAAATGTGACCCTGGACCACAAAACCGTCGCTGGGGTATATTTGTAGCAATAGCCAAAAATATATTGTATGGGT